TCATATCCCGTGAATATTGGTCGGGACATGTCCCTACCGTCCCTACCCAAACCTACGCCCATGGCTTTGTCACACTTATATGTCTCATGTTTTAATATCAGACAAAAATAACCTGAGTAGAAATAAAAAGCAAGTTTTCAAATGGTGATTTTATTAAGGAATAAATGCTATCCAAGCCAACCCATTCCAATATAAATGCTGTTGTTTGTTAACTTAGAACAAATTAAATATTTCTCGTTCACTTTCACTAGCTTCATTTCTGTTATAGCCGAAGAGAGAAGAAATAATCTACATAGAGCCTGTCTGACAACATGAAATAGGCTAAAAGACCTCAACAAGAAATAATAACATATTTTGTTGAGTCTGGAAGGCATTACAAAGTCATTTCTAAAGTTTTAAAACTCCAGTAATGCTCAGAACAAGCCAAGTGGAAAAACATGTAACATTCCTGCTCTAATTCGTTCCAAGGAGCCTTTCTGCGTTGTGGACTCGGCTCTGCACTGCCCAGATATATTATTAACCTTCCTATGAAAAAAACTGAAATGTTCTTAGTAGGGCTGCACCGATTGCAGTTTTCTGGCCAATCACCGATTTTTTAAACAGCCTAACTTACCGATTCTGATTTTGGCCGATAAGATTTTTTTGTCTGAAATGTTGCTCAATATAACAAGGAAGTTGCTGAACTGGCAACTACAGGGTGACTATTGTTAACTCTAAATGTGCAGACATGACCTGATCAGCAGGTTTGTCAGTCAAACTTCTCTCACAGGAGAAAAGCACAGTGGTTGATTTTTAGACCTTTGCCGAGGTTGGTAACGTCGGTGGATAAGATCAGTTTCACATGTAAAATCGGCCGATCTCCCAAAATTAAATTTTAAATTAAATCATCCCTAGTTATATTGAATCCATCCCTGACAGGACTTACTTATATCATTTATTTATATTGATTATTTCATAAAAAAAGTTCGTGTTTTATTTGGCATGTAAATAAATAAAACGATGATAGGGAGTAATAAACTTTTACATCTCCCCATTCCTTTTAAACCAGCATGTTTTGGACATCTGGTGAATTTTGTCGCCTCTTTTTTCCTGTCTTTTTAATTCAAGTGGAAGCAAATCAAACAAAACCGAACTATTTGTGGCTTCCAGAGTTTACATCTTACTTATCTACTTTTCAGCACCTCGGATAGTCGTTCATTAATGCGTGTTTTTGTTTTTATCAGTGTGGAGTGCCTTAAATTTCTCCACAGGGCGCACAAAGAGATTTAAAATCAAATAAACGAAACTAAAAGCAGACCTGTTGAAAGCTCTGCTTTTACAGAAATAACCACACTGAGAGGTAGAGTGAATATAAAGTAAACACAACCCTTTTTCAAACCAGATTTTTATTTTATTTTATTCTGGCATTCAATCCTCTTGGATAAAAAGTCAGATTAAAAATCTGATTAAATGTAAATAAAGTTCAATTGTGCCTGTAGGATCACAATTCACAGAAAAATTACCCTTTCAAATTAAAACATGAATAAAACTCAGAAAGGATGAGATGTTAGTGTTTGTCTCTAACGAGTGAAAGAGGAGATAACGACATGAAAGAAAGGCCAGTTTCTGCACAAACGAGTCAAGCATGTGTAGAATCTAAACTCAATAGGAGGGGAGATAGGGCCACACTCCAGTACGTGATTAAATTGTTAAATAAATACTTCAATATATGATAAACTAAAGTGTAGTTGTTATTTCAGTGAGTAAAGTTTAATCTTTGAATAAAGATTTAACGTGAGACTCTGAGTTCAAGCTTGCCTTTTCCATGTCAGTTTATGTTGCATTTTGTTTTGGAAGTCTCTTGCTCTAAAATGTAAACAATAGGGCTTGAAAAATTATGGAATTGATTTTTCTAATTAGTTTTTTCTTAAAGGGGCGGTACTATATGTTTTCCAGGCTCAAAGTGCAATTTTATATCACAATCAAATAATTATGTTCCCTGCCGTTGTTATAATAAATGTAATGTAAAATATGACTTAAAAGAAATTTGATTTTGTAATTTCACGCCTTGAAACTCGGGTATCTGTCTCTTTAAAAAACTCCTGCTCTTTCCGAAACTTTTCTATTAACAATTTAACAATGTTTTACCAGCGCTGCACTGAGAAGCAGCTCCTATAATGAGCTCAGCAGATGTGCAGCTCTACCAGGTGTTTGCTAATTGCTGCTGGCTAGTCTGAAGGAGCTGAGTGAGGGGAGGGCTGCTCTGTGAGGCGGAAGCTTGGAAACTGCAGGTCCTTCTTGGAGCTGCATCTCGAAGGCGGCGCTGGGTCCACCCAGTCGTTTTGAGCGGCTGAATGGTTGCCATGGGAGATTGAAGGACTTGTCAAACATCCATGAAAGAATCAAGACAACACTCCAGGTATGACCTTGAACAGAATAACATTATAACATGATGTAAAGCTATCAGAAGTCTATTTTACATAACACTGCCCCTTTAAGAGATGTGGTAACAGTCCAACAGAAAAACCCACAGAACCATCAAATTCACCAAACCTGGCCCACTTGACTAAATATTGGAAAACTGTTTTTACTCACCAGATGTCTAAGCTACCAGAACCCAGTAAAGAACAAGATCGCTTTTCATACTTTCTTACAGCTCAGTTCTAACGTCTAAGTGAGGAACCCGCTGAGAGGTCATTGCAGTCAGACAGAGACCACCAGCACACCTGAGGGCTGACCTCCACAAGGCTGTGTGTTGGGATAATCCCAGTTGGAAGTGTCAACAATGGGCTCGATGAAACCCACTGAGGCGTACGTACAGCCCCTGAAAATGAACACTGTAAATAATAATTTCATGTTTGAGCAGATTTTCTGACATGAAGTAAACATAAGTAGCAATCTGTGTTTTGAAGAGGCACGCGATACGTAAAACGAAGATAGACTCCTCCTGTTATGTTTTTAAATTATTTCATCAAGGACTCTTCAGTCTTTTGGGAATTCCTGTTTTGTTTTGTTTTTTTAATCTGAAAGAAAGAAAAAAAGTTTTGTTTTGTTTGGATCTCCTGTCAAGATCGTTCAAAATGCGACACTTGGACATGAAAGGTTAGCACACCGTGCGGGCGACAGGGATGGGCTTGAAGCCTGGTAATTGCCTTCCCATCTTTTGGAGCACGGAGGTTTTTTCCAAACATGGCTGGTCTTGTCATATTAGCAGCTTCAAAAATTAGATATTTGGTCCCTCAGGACTTCATCTGAGTTTAGATTCCCTTTTCACTTCATCTCCCCTTTAATTGGTGTTAGTTTTTGGTTTCAAGGTGAAATTCTCTATATTTATGTTTTGAAATTTTTTTTTTGGCATGTAGTAGCTCACAAAAATATCTTAGTTTATAAAAAAAAATTGTCATGTTTTGAACCATGTGCTAACCAAATTAGTTGTTTTTTTAATTACTGATGGTTGGAGGAAACTATTTAGTTTGGAATAGCTGCCCGCCTCAAAGAAGCTTGTTACCGTTTTCAATAATCTACATGGGTTGAGAGGCAGACAGTCAACAAGCTGCCAGTGTAACACGACCCTGTTCAGCAAAATACAGCAAAACAAAATCTTCATTGGCTGCACAGCAATTAAGTTCTTGTGATTGCTGAGCAGCTTTCTGCACGTCTCCACTGGCATTTGTAACACCATCTGATGATAAGATACAAGTTTTTGAGGTAGGAAGGCTTCTTCGCTATCAGTCTATTCTTTAGCTCCCTCCCCAGATTATCTGTGAGATTAAAGTCGGGACTATTTTTGGCTATCACTTCCAGTAAGAAGGAACATGTCAATGCAATTAAAAAAAATCACTTTACAACTAAAATTTTCCAGATTCGCAGCCCTCAATCTTTCTCCACCAGCCTGTAAAACGCTGTACCACAGTTATAATCTATGCAATACACAGAAGGGAAAAGCTAAAAGCCATGCATTCATCACCATGATGCCAACTTGTCTTTCCTGGCTGTCCTTTAGAGCTGTCAGACGTTTAATTATGAATATATGGGCCTTCCTGGATCTCCTCCAGGGAACGACGATAACAACTCGCCAAGCACAGTTGAAATTAAATGTCAAGCAGGTAACAGAAAATAAACCAGAGTGTTGTCTGAAGAATGTTTAACCAACTTGAGTGGATGAAAGCATGGACGCACAGAAGTGAACTATGTGAAGTCAATTATGTCAGCAAATTGGAGAAAATGAAGAACTCACAAGATGAATAAAGAAGAAGACTGTGTTTTCCGTGAACTTTTACGGGGCGTCACGCAGTGCCCCGCAGTGTTTGTTATTTGCATTAAATTTAATGAAAGTATTGTGAATATTTTTTTTATTTGTTACCTGTAAATGTGATGCAAAAATATATAAAATCTTGCATCCAATGACCTTCATGTCTGTGGTAGATTGTTTTTCATTTTCTTTTTCTGGAAAGTTTTTGGGATTTTTCTATTTTTGTTGTGTTTTTTTAAACACTTTTTTTTCAACAGCTGTTGTTTTTTTATTTTTTTTTATTTTCATGAAAATAATAATTATTATGAAAAGCATAGTTTGTGTTGTGCCTTACAGAGAATATCTCGTCATGATATTTTGGGTTTTCATTTGCAGTACTCTCCCGTTTTTGTCGGGCCAAGTTTGGTGCCCTTCTTTAAATGCGGTTGTGAGCAGAAAATCAATAAAAGGGCAGCAGATGACCTGTGGGTTATATTTTGCACATCCCTCTTTTCAGAACTAAATGAGGAATAAAATATACTTACTGGTGGTCCAACGTGTGCAGAAATGACCCACAATGTCACATGTTGTTTTCCTCATTGGGTTTTTCATAGGTTTCTTAAAACAGCCTAAAACACATGGCAAATTAAGTTGAATTAAAAAATCGTTACGTCAATTGTTATGTGTGCTTTAGTTGTGTTTTCCTGAGATTTCAGTTTAGTTGGAGAACAAGAAAGAAGGCTGCAACCTTGAAAACAAAGAAAGCTTTTCAGCTAAGCGTTAAAAATAAGCCAGTGTTAGAAACATTGCCAACCAGAATCACTTGAAGGACCTCGTTTCATAACAAGTACAGCTCAAACACTGAATGAATCGAATATTGAAAATGTTCAATTTTCTTTTGACAGTGTAATTTATATCTTATAGATTCATTCACTACATGTAAGGTCTGATCTACAAAGATCTACTGGCTGTCACTGCAGATAGTGTCCATAGTGTCTATAATGATAATAATAATAATAGCAATACACTTCATTTAATTAAGTAAACACAGCACAATAGTCAAAAATCTATCAAAATCAATCTCGAAACAGCTATACTTACGTTCCCACTCTAACTCGGTCGGCCCGGTCTCACCTCCAATCTCCCTGTGACAAAGAAATAAGTGATATTACCTATTTTCATAGGTCCGCCCATAACAATTTATTACAACATGAATGTGCTTCATCAGCCTGAAATGTTTGCACTTTTGGACATTTCTTTTTGTTTTATCTTCAATATCCCTTTGAAGGTTCAATCAATGCGGCTAAAGATAAACGCATGGATGAGTTTCTCTTGATCTCGCTGAGACATTAGTCCTCTAATCCTGGAGATGTTCTTCAGGTGATAGAAGGCCAACTTTGTGAGTGTCTTTAGGTGGCTCAGAAGGTTCAGGTCAGAGTCCATCACTACTCCCAGGTTTCGGGCCTGATCGCTAGTTTTGGCTGTAATAACTGAAGCTGTGGTTTGACTCTACATCACTCCTCTTTAGGTCCAAATATAATAATTTTTGTTTTGGAGACAAGTCTTCTGATCTGACAACCATAATGACCATTTTCACACTTGGAATAAAAAAAGGGAGTGCTTTTAAGCCTCAAAACATCAGAAAGTATGGTGATGGCAGTATCATGCTGTGGAGTAGTTTTAATGCAGGAGGAACTGGAGCATCACATTTAGTAGCATCATAAGGAAAGAACATTATGCAGAAATATTAAAATAACATCTGAAGACCAGGTTCCAATAAGTCCTGCCCTCCCTTTATTTTGAGTTTTTAAGATTTTAAGAAGTATACCCAACCTTATGGACTGCCAAGAAAAATCTAAATAAACCTAAAATAAATCATTCTACTCATCTTCTCAGATTTACACTGGGCAGCAACATGTTTACAGAGGATTACAATCTTTTTTTTAAAGAATCTATGTTTCTGACCTACTTCCTCCTGCCTGCTGTGTTTTGCTCCACCTTTGGTCTGACAGAGTTGGTTTCACATTTATTCGTTGTCCACTGTCAGATGATTAAGACGGTGTGGCTATTGTGCATCTCCCTGATCGGATTTCAAGGCATTCAGCAAATCCTTCTGTAGGTGAGAAAATCTAAAATATACACTTATAATGAAGAAAATTTTGTAGTATTGTTAAAACCTCAACAATACATTATGTTGCCTTTTTAATTTCAGATTCCTATGAAAAGCACAGACTTGATCAGTTTCTTAGTAAAGCTGAAAGAAACCAGTGCAACTGGTCTCTTTCAG